CAAGTCTGCCCGTTTGACATGCAATTCCTCATTGATTTCAGAATGGTATGTGTATGGGGTTATTTCAATTGGTTCAAATATCTATGTATATAGCACATTGAATTTCTTCCGATTCCATCTCAATGATCCTCCAAAGATTCTATGTCTGTTCTATTTACAGGATTTTGTAGATATTAAAATCTTTTGTATGTACCCATAGTGGTGAAGGGTATCATATAGTCGGCCCCGTCCGACTTTTGAACTTTTCTTACTGGTTTTTTCCATGGCTATTAAAAAGCCTATATTTTTTAAAATATTATTTTTTCAAGGACTTGGACAAGGCGTGGATATTTAATATTTTCCACAAATTCCCTTTTTTAAATTTATTTCACAATTTACTACAACCAAACTTTATTTCATTACATGTTCTCAACAGAATAAAATTGTATTTCCTCCTTTCACATAGGACATAGGTTAAACAAAAAACTATTTGAACACGTAAAATAAAAATACGAAAAGGAAAACTCGTTACAAACATAAAAGTGAAAAATGCGATTTAATCTTTTGCATTGACATTAAAATGAATTTATTAAAAGTTGAAATGCCACAAGGATAAATTCTAACCGTAAAACAAGATGAAAGTTCATCCTTACGGTACATTCAACGGTACACATAACGTACGATAATTTTATGCAATTCCATATATATGTCAAACGTACAGCGAAAAATGCATAGCGAACATATCAAGTGGCATACATACATACACACACAGTAACCAGTGCACAAATACACTGACACAGGAAGCATGTTTTTGTTTCTCGCGCTCCCCAGTGTAAACTATGGCAATAAAAGTTTACAGGTAATAGTGTTGATGCACTCTTCAGCATCTGCATGACTCTATCCGGGTTATGTAGGATGAAACCGAGTTTTAGCGGGTTTTCTGTTACTACCATTGTCGGAGTATTACAGGTATTTGCGTCAACGGTTCCTCATTTACACTACAGCTGAAATGTCTAACTTCCATTAACTTTTTGTTCTGCTGCTAAGCGTTGAGTATGTCGTTAAAAACAGGTGTGTGCGTATGTGTGTGTGTTAAAATAGTGTTTGTTGAAGACATTAGGAATTTATTATCATTTTTGTAAAATTGCAAAGAACTATTGCGGGCTAGCGTGAAATGCAAAGGAACTTAAGTGCACTTAGACAATTAAGTGGGTTATTATGGTCCTACACAAGGAGTAGAATATTTTAAGGTCTCCCACACTAGGCGTGGATTTTTTAAAGAATTTTTGTAAGTCTTCCGCAAGGCGATTGGATTTTTTAGGGAATATTTTTTTATTTGGCACAGTTCACTTATTTGGCCCAAGGACGAACACTATTGAAATTGGAGAAAATCGGTTCAGATGGAACCGATTCAGATTTAGATATAGCTCCCATATATATTTTCGTCCGAGAGACGAATTTGGCTGCGGATTTATGGTTAACAGGAGAATAAAAGACCTTGTCTCCAGATTCTCTCCAGTATATGAGCGAATTGCTATAATTCGTATAAAAGCGAAGTTCTTTTACATCAGTCTAATTTGCGCCCATGCTCCGATCGAAGATAAAGATGAACAGACCAAAGACATATTTTATGAGCGCCTAGAAACAGCATATGACCGTTGTCCTGGCCATGACATTAAAATTCTACTAAGAGATTTTAATGCAAAAATCGGAAGGGAAAATATCTTTGGCCCCACCGTCGGAAAATTCAGCCTTCATGAAGAAACATCCGACAACGGCATGAGGTTGATTGACTTCGCGGCAGCAAAAAACATGGTAGTTAGCAGCACCAGATTCAAGCGTCTCGATATACACAAGGCCACCTGGAAATCAAATAGATCATGCTGTGATAGACGGAAGTCATTCATCCAGTGTTTTAGACGTCCGATCGATCCGAGGAGCGAATATCGATTCGGACCATTACCTTGTGGCAGCAAAGGTACGCAACCGTCTTAATGTTGCAACAAAGGTGCGATCTAATACAACACGGAAACTCGACATCGAAAAGCTGCAAACACAACAGGTAGCCGAGGCCTACACCGCTCAGCTTACCCATCTGCTTGAATAAAGCACTTCTTGTCCCGATAATAGTATAGAAGCACAATGGCAAAAAATTGCCCACTCCCTACAAACTGCAGCAAAAGCAACACTTGGGTACCAAAAACCACCACCAAGAAACCTATGGCACGATCAGGAGTGTCGTAATGCTACTGAGGTGAAAAACGCAGCGAATAGGGCAACCCTGCAGACAGTAGGAAAACGTAACGTGATGGTGAACTATCGGGAGAAAAGGAGAGAGGAGATAGGTTACCAGCCGAACTATTCAAGACTGGTAGCCAGATGCTGGTCAGGAGCATGCACCAGCTAATTAGCACAATTTGGCTAGATGAATGCATGCCCAATGATTGGAACCTCAGCATCCTGTGTCCCGTGCACAAAAAAGGAGACAATACGATATGTGCCATCGCATATAAAGTGCTGTGTGAACGATTGAAGCCAATGGTCAATGACACCATCGGACCATACCAATGCGGCTTCAGACCTGACAAATCCACCATTGACCAGATTTTCACTCTGCGCCAAATCCTGCAAAAGACCCACGAAAAACACATCGACACATACCACCTATTTGTCACTATAAAGTCGCATTCTACAGTCCTATCCGTTCAGAGGTGTTTAAAGCCATGTCTGCGTGCGGCATTCCTGCAAAATTAATACGGCTATGCATGATAACTTTAAGTGACACAAAGTCAGCAGTCAAAGTAGGAAAGGACCTATCGGAGCCCTTTACTACCGAACGAGGATTCAGACAAGGTGACAGTTTTTCGCGTGATCTTTTTAACATCCTACTGGAAAAGGTCATACGAGACGCAAAGGTGAACAGAAATGGCTCTCTGTGCACCAAACAACACATGTTACTCGCCTACGCCGATGACATCGATATAATGGGTCGAACATTGCGAGCGGTAACAGCCACCTTTGAACAAATTGAAAAAGAGTCTGCCAAAGTGGGTCTGGCAGTAAACGGCGAGAAGACCAAGCTGATGGTATCAACGCGCAAGACGTCCAGTAAACTCGGACCAACTGTGGAACTTGAGAACTACAGCTTCGAGGTAGTTAAAGACTTTATATACCTTGGTACCACCATAAATAAAACGAATAACATCAGTGTTGAAATTCGGAGAAGGATTGTGATGGCCAACAGATGCTACTAAGGTCTAAGTAAGCAGTTTAGAAAAAAGCCACCTCCCGCCAGACCAAACTCACACTTTACAAGACGCTGATACTACCCGTGCTATTATATGGATCAGAAGCATGGGTACTTGCGCAAGCAGATGAGGCAGCTCTTGGGGTGTTTGAGAGAAAAATTGTCCGAAAGATCTTCGGGCCGATCTGCATCGACGGTGAATATCGGCGTCGAATGAACCACGAGCTTTACAATTTATACGCGAACATCGACATAGTCAGTCCTATTGAGCTGCAGCGACTACTGTGGCTAGGTCATGTTGTGCGGATGAATGAAAATGCTCCAGCTCAAAAGGCATATAAAAATGAGCCTACTGATGGTTCCTGTAGAAGGGAAAGGCCACGAATTAGATAGAAAGACCAAGTAGAAAACAACATCTTGGAACGTGGTCTTCCAAATTGGTGGACTTGCGCACAAGACCGACGTGCGTGGTCATCTTTTTTAAGCTCGGCTTATGGAACAACCGTTCTGTAACAAGCCAGATAAGTAAGTAAGTTAATATCTATCAAGATAGCACATTTAATTTCGCCCGATTTCATCTCAATGGTCCTCCAAAGATTCTATGACCTTTCTATCTACAGGATATTGTAAATATTAACATCATATAGTCCGACTTTTGAACTTTCCTTACTGGTTTAAGAATATTTTTAAAGGTCTCCCGCAAGGCGTGGAATTTTTAAAAGAATACTTTTTAAGGTCTTACATAAGGCGTGGCTTTTTACAGTATATTTTTTTAAGGTCTCCCACCAGGCGTGGATTTTTGAAGAATATTTTTAAGGTCTCCCACCAGGCGTGGATTTTTAAAGAATATTTTATAAAGTCTCCCGCAAGACGTAGATTTTTTTAAGAGTTTTTAAGGTCTCACACAAGGCGTGGATTTTTTAAAGAATTTTTTTAAGGTCTGACACAAGGCGTGATATTTTGTTTCATTGACCTTTTTTTTGAAATGTCAACAAATGTTAAATAATTTTATTCTGCTTAATTTTTCAAAATTTAATTTTCCACTCAATTGTATCTAAACGAAATGTCATGTTGATGGAAATCTCTTAATATAATCTGTATTTTATTTGCATATATTTTCAGATATTATACAATTTGTATATAAGTTGCGAACAGTAGCAGAATCATCTGAGCCGGACGTCAATGGCAGCCATTGACAATTTATTCAAAGTGAAAACGTAAAATGAAATTAGTTGTTAATTCATTACAAAAGGAAGGAAACACTGTCTTTGTGCACAAATCGAGTTAAAAATAGAAGACAACCATGCGAAAATTAAACTGTTGAAATTAAAAATTTAAAAACAAAACAACAACAAAGACTTTAAACTACATTTTTGGCAAGGACATCCGTTGAAACTTGTTTCTTTGTTGTTGTTCCTTGATGACGTTTTACCTCATTCAATAGAGAGGCGTAGAGCTGGCGATTACCATGCCTACCAAGGGTAGTAAATATTGATACTGTTGATTTCCAACGATAGTTGTATTGCAAAAACAACAACAACATTCTCAAAGGAAAAAAGGGTTGTACAACAAAACCAACTTTTTTTGCTATATGTTAGCTTTCCTGTGATTGATGACATTTTTATTGACATTCTAGTTCGTTGAATCGTCAAACAGTTGCTTGTGTTTCCTTTCAACTCGATCATCGACCCACACAAAAATCTCCTCTGGCACCGGGTGATGGCATATGATATTTGATGGACAAAGCCTGGCAACGGATCCTGCCAGTCACAACATGACCGATGTGTCAACGACACAACAGCAAAGCAACGCACCAACAAGTGCAAAATCAATAAAAGCCACCAACGAAATATGTCACTCAACAGGGAACGGTACAACGTCCAGCAACAACCCCGGCAAACCGAAAACATTAGCGAATGGTTCAGCAGGCCGGTCAACAGTTGCCAGCCAACAAGGCATTAGTAGTAGTGTACCATATCAAATAGCCAGCCCCAGCGCAAATAAACAGGTGGAGCAGAGAATTTCGAAAAACAACAGCGACGCCTCCGCCACCAATAATAATCGCCCCATCCCCAAAATGTCCAATGCCGGTCTCAAAAGTCTTACATCACCCACCAGCCCAGCACAATCACCATTATCAAATGCAATGTCCTCCCAGCAACAAACTCCATCCACCCCATCGCCCCCCATCGACTCGGGAGGCCATCAAGTCACCACAACAACTAATCAATTCACAGAACCACCTGCCATTTCCACCTGCCACCCTGCCGCCTTACAAAGTGACAACAAAGACACCACCAGTACGTCCACTATTTCATCATCAGAAGCTACCGCCGCCACCACTTCGAACGCCTCTTCGTCAACGACTATAATTAGTAGTTGCACTGGCAGCACCAGTAACAGTAGTAACAGTCTTGTACCAGCTGTCCACCAACAGCAACAACATCAGCATCCTTTGACTAAAACGACGACTATGCAACGTGAAGTCACGCAGCAGGATGTCGACGAAGTGGCACGTCTGTACGAAGAAAAACCTGAGGCATTTGAAAAATGGCTAATGGAAAGAGCACCACCCGAGGCATTGTTGCGTCTACAAGAATTCATCGAGGGACGTAAACATCCGCCCAAAAGGCCATCGGTTACATCGGATTTATTTCAACAATGGATGGCAGCATCTCCGGTAGTGCAGGTATGTCCGTTATGTGTGCTAGCAAAGCTAATAAGCTTCTTATAGAAAATTTCATTTTCATGTTTTTCATTATTGACAAGATGGAAACGCTTTTGAGGGAAATTTAAAGCATGGATTTTGAGGGAGAAATTTTACGTAAAGCCAATAGAAGTTTTGAAGTTTTAGTCCAGAGAAATAAGAAGGAATTGTGAAAATGTGTCGAATCAGGGAAAGCATAAGTTGATACTAAAACCATTTGAAACACATAATATAACCATTTGAGACAACAAAACGTGGGATTTTTTATGAACCCGTTTTTGGAGAACTATAACGTGGATTCAATGGTGTCTGGAAAAGGAATCTAAGACATTCATATTTTGCAGAAAATCATCCAACCACAATGCGTAATTTTCGGTATTTTTAAGGTATACGCTAAATTTTTAGATCGGTTCACTTTGGTTCTTGGAGGCTGGCATACATTTATGCAGAAAATGATACCTACGTGTCAATATTTTGACATAGTCTACTCCGTGTATTTTTTTCGAATATTTTTCCCAGACTAAGAAAGTCGTGGATTTTTTTGAAGAATATTTTGCAGGGACCAAAACTAAGGCGTGGATTTTTTAAAGATCAACAAAAACAGGCGTAGATTTATTAAGGAATATTTTTCCAGGACAGAAATGGACATGACAACGCGCCGATTTTTTAAATAATTTTTTTCAAAGTACCATTACAAGGTGTTGTTTTTTTTAAGATATTTTCCAAGGACCATAACAAGACGTGGATTTTTTTAAAAAATATTTTTTTCAACTGACCATTACAAGGCGTGGATTTTTTTAAAGAATATTTTTTCAACCGACCATTACAAGGCGTGGATTTTTTTAAAGAATATTTTTTCATGGACCATTACAAGGCGTGGATTTTTTTAAAGAATATTTTTTCAACCGACCATTACAAGGCGTGGATTTTTTTAAAGAATATTTTTTCAACTGACCATTACAAGGCGTGGATTTTTTTAAAGAATATTTTTTCAACCGACCATTACAAGGCGTGGATTTTTTTAAAGAATATTTTTTCATGGACCATTACAAGGCGTGAATTTTTTAAAGAATATTTTTTCAACCGACCATTACTAGGCGTGGATTTTTTAAGGAATAGTTTTTTCAACCGACCATCACAAGGCGTGGATTTTTTAAAGAATATTTTTTCAACCGACCATTACAAGGCGTGGATTTTTTTAAAGAATATTTTTTCAACCGACCATTACAAGGCGTGGATTTTTTTAAAGAATATTTTTTCAACCGACCATTACAAGGCGTGGATTTTTTTAAAGAATATTTTTTCATGGACCATTACAAGGCGTGGATTTTTTTAAAGAATATTTTTTCAACCGACCATTACAAGGCGTGGATTTTTTAAGGGAATATTTTTTCAACCGCGTGGATTTTTTACAAGGCGTGGATTTTTTTAAAGAATATTTTTTCAACCGACCATTACAAGGCGTGGATTTTTTTAAAGAATATTTTTTCATGGACCATTACAAGGCGTGGATTTTTTTAAAGAATATTTTTTCAAAGTACCATTACAAGGCGTGGATTTTTTAAAGAATATTTTTTTAACCGACTATTACAAGGCGTGGATTTTATAAAGAATATTTTTTCAACCGACCATTACAAGGCGTGGATTCTTTTAAAGAATAGTTTTTTTTATTTATTTTTAATTCTATTACAAATTTAAAATATTTTAAAACTTGGATTATTAGGAATATTATTTCGGAACCATTGTATTAACTGAATTTTTTATGAATATTTTTCGAGGACTGGAATATGCGTGTTTTTATACCCTTCACCACTCTGTGGTACAGGGTATTATATCTTTGTGCATATGTTTGTAACAGGCAAAAGGAAACGAGATAGACACATGGTTCCTTTTGAGAATATGCATAGAATCACTTTCTGAGACGATTTATGCATGTCCGTCCGTCTGTCTGTCGATGTTAAATTGTAAACAAAATGCAGGTCGCATTTATAATCCGAATTGGATGAAATTTGGCATAGGTCACTTATTTGGCCCAAGGACGAACCCTATTAAATTTGGAAAAAATCGGTTCAGATTTAGATATAGCTCCCATATATATTTTCGTCCGATTTAATGTAAATGGTCCCTATATATCATTCGATGTGTGCAAAGTTTCGTGAAAATCGGTTCAGATTTGGATATATCTCCCATATATATTTTCGTCCGATTTAAGGTAAATGGTGTACCAAAGTCCCTATATATCTTTCGATTTGCAGGAAATTTGGCACAGCATAATGAATTAGGTCGAGAACGATGTGTGTTAAATTTTGTAAAAATCGGTTCAGATTTAGATATAGCTCCCATATATATTTTCGTCCGATTTTAGGTAAATAGTGCACCAGAGTCCCTTTATATGCTTCGATTTGCACAAAATTTGGCTTAGCGTACTAAATTGAGTCTAGAATGATGAGTGGTGAGTTTCGGGAAAATCGGTCGAGATTTCGATATAGCTCCCATATATATGTTCGTCCGATTTTATGTAAATGATGCACCAACGTCCCTATATATCCTTCGAATTGCACGAAATTTGGCACAGCGTACTGAATTAAGTCTAAAGTCTTTCCTTACTGGTTTCTAAATAGTTTTTCATGAATGAAATAGGGCCCCTCGTTTAAATATACTCCCTTCACCTCGTCCCTAATGAATGTTTTCTGATCATGTCTAAAGACACGTTTCAGCTCGTCTATAAAAACTCCTCCCAGCTCGTCTATAAAGATTCCCTTCGTAGCGAATATATAGACACCCTTCAGCTCGAATATAAAGACTTCATTCAGCTCGTTTATAAAAACTCTCTTCAAAACTTCCTTCAGTTGGTATACAAAGACTCCAATCACCTCGTTAGAGCTCCTTTGGTTCATATATAAAGACTCCATTTAGTTTGTCTACCAAGACTTCCTTCTGGTTGTCTATAGGTGAAGTTTTAAACACAATCAGGATTAACAGCATGTTTTTGTAAAATTCTAAACGAACGAATTCGAGTGACTTACGACCAAACTCCTTGGTTTTGAAAAATATGTCATTTATTTTTGTTTGAATCAAGAAACATTTTTTTACATAAATAAAGGTTTGGTAGTAATTCGTTCGACTTGTTTCGTTTCGAATTTTACAAAAACAGGCTGTAAATATCTTAGTTATAAATATCCATATGGAACCAAGGAAAAAAAATTAAATTTGCGAAAACCAAATCGAATTCGTTTAATATAAATTTGTTTCTTTTTTGTGTTTCGTTTTTAACTAACCACCAAATTTGTTGGATAACAAAAGCCAACTTGTTTCCTGGCAACATATTGTCAAAGAAATATTCCACCAGAAAAGAAAAAAAGAAGGACTTAGCAGAAAAGAAACTAGTACGTGTCCTACGTGGCAACTAACAAGTTAGTTGCTATTTGAACAAAGTGTAATTACACTGGTGGTGCATTCACTCACCCACTCGCGCACTAACATACAACATTCTCTACTAGTCTGGCATGCAAAGAATTACATTTACACAGAAACTATACGAAACCATGTAAAATTGTAAACATTCATTGCCTTTCCGCATTTGAATTCTTAAGTCAGGGGTTTTTGCTTTTCTCTTTTACGCGGTTGCTGTTCATTTAGTTTGTAGCCCTTTGTGGAACTTTGTTAGCGGAATTGCGGATAAAAGGGGATGTATACCAACGAGAATTAAAAAAAAACATATTTTTTTTAGTAATCGTTGGCTGTGAATGATGAATTTTAGACCCAAACACTTTAAAAATTTCTATGCACTATTGTGTCCTTTAGAAGCCTAAAACAATTGTCTCCTTGTTTAATTGATGAATGATGTGGTAAAGAATCGATGATATACAAAGTGTATATGTACTTAGTCTCATTTTCCATGTATTGCACGTGGCGCACCTTCCTTAACTCGTTAAAGTACTTAAAAGTGTAAGCACTTCACTTATGAACATTTATAAAAGAACGGAACGAATAGGATATATAGAAGAGGAGACACGCTAAGCTATGTACGTGCTAGAATGTTCATTTTGTACTTAACTTTTGTGCACGCCACTGTAGAACGTTCACACACACATTTATATACTCGACCATGTTGCGGCAAGCCATCTTTTATAACATCCTTAATTAATTGACACTTTTGATATGACAAAAAAAGAATGAAACGAAAATACACGAAACATTTTTTAAGAGATCCTAAATATTTTCATTACAAAGGCGCCGTTTATTTACGGCAAACATGTCTTTATAGAGTCGGGCTGAAGGGAGACTTTATAGAGTCGAGCTTAAGGGAGTCTTTATAGAGTCGAGCTTAAGGGAGTCTTTATAGAGTGGAGCTTAAGGGAGTCTTTATAGTGTCGAGCTTAAGAGAGTCTTTATAGAGTCAAGCTTAAGGGAGTCTTTATAGAGTCGAGCTTAAGAGAGTCTTTATAGAGTCGAGCTTAAGGGAGTCTTTATAGAGTCGAGTTTAAGGGAGTCTTTATAGAGTCGAGCTTAAGGGAGTCTTTATAGACGAGCTGAAGGGAGTCTTTATAGACGAGCTGAAGGGAGACTTTATAGACAATCTAAAGGGTGTATTTTTAAAGGACTGAAGGTAGTCTTTATAGACAAGCTGAAGGGAGTCTGAAGGCAGTTTTTGCAGATTAGCTGAAGGTTGTCTGTATTGATGACATAGTCCTGAATTTGTGGACGTCCTGAAGTTCAGGGTTCTCATAGGCGTCTTTAAGTTCAGGGAGTCATCGTAGACAAGTGAGTATTTATAGGTGTGCTGGAGTGCACAATTCTTATAGCCATGGGCTCTTAATAGACGAGCTGCATCACCCATGTTTTATAGAATGACAGGGGGTCCCAGTTGAAGAACATAAAATCATTGTAGACAAGCTGACTGTTAGGGATCCCTAATGGACGATATGAAGGCCAGGTAGCCAAAAATAGACTTTATGCTGTTAATGTTTTTGGACGCTGAA